GTCCTGTACAGCATGTAGCAGCAGTAGCCAGCAGCACCGAGAACACCCAACACAACAACAGCATGCTTCCTCATGTGCATCATGTTTCTGCAGTTGCCCGCGCCGCCGCCCATGGAGAGGAGGTGGACCATGTCTTGCTCGACTCAGGAGCCTCTGTGCATCTGATTGCTGAGAGCATGTTTTCCAGTGGGTCTGCAGAGTTTTTGGAAGCATTGGGTGATAGCGGTGTTGGCTGTGTCACGGCAACCGGGGAGGACATTCAGATTAGAAGGCGTGCTAGGGTTAGGGTTAGGTTGGCCTTGGCCTCGAGCAACGGATCTCCTCCTTCAGGTTCAGTGCCGGTGACTTTTGAAGCTTTAATCGCACCTGTGCGGTATAGCCTTCTGTCTCTGGGCCTCCTTTTGAAGAAAGGTTGGGATGTAGATTTCAGCAAGGTTCGGGTTTTGGGTCCCAGCTCGCGAGGGAAGCCCGGATGCAAGCTGTACGTAGAGAGTTTTCAGAACTGTTTCTGGTTGTCTGCAAGCCGTTTTGTGCCCGAGAGCACCCGCCTGCGTTTTCAGCTCCTGTCTGCTGCGGTGCAAGATGAGCAGCAGCTCGGAAGAGGAGGTTCCAACGTGGCGCCGCCCAGAGATGCTGGGAGAGGGCCAGGACCGCGAGGGTCAGGGATCTCAGTCGAGCGAGGGTCAGGGGTTGCAGGGTCAGGTGCCGCGTCCCAGGGTCGAGGGTCTGTTGGAGCCAGGGTTGCCAAGTGTGATGGGGACAGAGGGGGTTCGCCTGAAGCCGGGTCCTCAAGCCTTTCATCCGGTGCCGCCTCTGCTTGCGCAGCTGGCAACGGATTATGCTTCAACGTCGGGGGAAACTGTTCGGTCTCAGGAGATGGACAGCGCCGAGAAGACCGAGGACCAGGGAGCAGCCAAAGCAGCCAAGGGCAGCGTCGGAAGGGTGAAGCCAAAGGTGAAGAGAATGCCGAAGTATCCGGCGACCAAGGCCATGCCGAAAGTGGCTCTCCGACCCAGGAAGGGCGCGATGGTGAAGAACAAGCCCGTGGGGAAACATTGGAGGCCATACCCGAGGAATCGGGGAAAGAAGCACGGCTCAGGGTCAGGGTCCAAGGACAAGGGCAAGCCGGAGATGGTGGACCAGGAGACGCAGACGCCGGAGCTAAGGACCGTGGCGCAGCACGGGGAAGCTCATGCGGGGATGACCAGGTACGCCAGGGCATTTGCGGGGCACCTCGAGAGTCGCCAGAGCACGGCCGAGTTCAGTGCGGAGTTTCCTCTGCTCAGCATATCGGTGGCAGCCGGCTTCTTCGAGGTGCGGACGCGCTCTTTGGTTCCCCTGTCGGACGAGATCACCTACAGGTCGGAAGGGATGCAGGGCACGGAGCCGCCTATGGAGCTGCCGGTGCCGCCTCCTCCTCCACTTCCAGAGTGGACGGCTATGCACCAAGCGCCTCCGGAGCCAGCGAGCGGTTCAATGGAGATCCCGGCCATGATGCAGCAGACGCCGCCGCTTCCTCGAGGCCCGCCGCCAGTCCGAGCACCTGTGGCAACCACGCCGGCGGGGTTCCCATTGCCACCGGGGGTGGTGTGGAACGATCTGTAGATGAGTCTGTGATGGCAGCAGTCCCCTCCGAAAGCCAGAAGCGTCCGCTGATGGCCGTTTTGAGGGGTGATCTTCCAATGATCTTTGGCCGGAGTTCAAAAGAGAGCGTCAATGCAGTGGGTCCAAGTTCCTTTGCGCAGGGTTCCGAGGGTCCAGTTGCACAGGGTTCTCAGGGTCCAGTTGCAGAGGGTTCTCAGGGTCCAGTTGCAGAGGGTTCTCAGGGTCCAGTTGCAGAGGGTTCTCAGGGTCCAGAAGATCATGGTAGCATTGAGGGTGGCGTTGCTCCTTGGATCGTTGCAGGTGATCAGGGTTACCTTTCGTCGAGTGACTTCTCTCTCTTGCAGAATGAGCATGTGTTGCGGTCCCACATTCCCTACAATTCCAGCTGTGAGGAGTGTCAGCGTGGCCGGGGTGTGTGCCCACAACGGAAGTTGCCCGAGGAGCGCAAGGATCGGAGGGAAGTGCAGGCAGATAAGTTTTGGTTCAAAGGGATCGCCATGCTAGTGCTTGTTGCCGTTGGGTGCGGGGTCTTAGGGACCATCCAGTGGCAGCCAGACCGTGAGTCGATGGTGACCTCTTTTGTGCGTTGGACCAGAAGTGCAGGGTTGGCAGGGTCGCAGGAAGTGATCATCTCCATGAGATCAGACGGTGAACCCGCTCTGGTGTCGTTCCTTGAGCGGTGTGCCCGGGAGCTTCCTCACGCTTTGCTCGAACAGGTTCCGGTGGACCGCCACGCTCCCAACGCGGAGAGGGCGATCAGGACCTTGAAGGAGCTTGCCCAGGTTCAGCTGTGTTCTCTGGAGAAGGTAGGGTTGACTATTGCGTCCGGGGGTATACCGTACCTGTTTTCGCATCTTAGCGTTGCACACAACAGGTATCACCTTGATGAGGGTTCTTCTTTGACACCGGAGCAAAGGTGCCGCATGAAACGTATACCGGCACATCCCACGTATATCTTTGGTGCCTCTGTGTTGTGCCTGCCTCCGCCTTCCATTGCACATTTGGTGAACGGTCGTCTTTGCAAAGGGTCTTACATGGGTCCTGAAGTCGCGTCGGGGAGCCACTGGGTCAGGGTTCAGTTGAACAATGGTGAGAAGAGGGTGGTGAGATCACCTAAGGTCAGGATGCTGATGCCGTTGAGGTACGAGGTTGGCCTGCTTCGTGGGGTTTGTCGCCTTCTTCCAGGGAGGGATCCGCCCGCCGAGGGACCACCCGTTGACCCGGACAACCTGGCTGCCTTGCCTCTACCGAATACGAATACCCGGGGACCTCCGAAGACGTGGGTCGAGGAACATGGAAAGACGCCGCGCTGCCGCGCATGCAAGATCAAGGGTTTTGACATGGACAAGGCAATGCACACTCCAGCCTGTAGGGCTCGTTACGCCAAGTACCTCAGGGATACCTTTGACCCCAAGGGATCGCTGGAAATGGATAAGGAGATCGATGCCGAGATGGGGTTTGATGCTCCGGTTCCTGACCTAGGGGATTTAGGGTTTGAGGGAGGGCTTGGGGAGTATGTAGAGTTGCCCGGTGACGTTGCGGGAGTTCCGGAAGACTACGAGGACTCTTTGTATGAGCCCTCCATTGCTGATGATGATAGCCGGGAGCTGCCAGAGCAGCCAGCAGGTGAGATCACCAACGAAGAGATGCAGGACCTCATGGAAGTTGAGGCAGAGCCTCTGGACAGGGTCCCAGAGGGGGTCGCTGATGCGTTTGCTGGTCGCATTGAGCATCAGGAGGCTCTGGGCAATGTTGCTTCAGCAGTTTCCACAGTTGGTGAAGAAACCAAGGACGGGGAAATCATTGTCGAGCTTGGGGGTGGGCTTGTGAAGGTCCAGAGGCCCTGTGCCTCCCGGGACGATGTCACCGAAGTTGAGCTTGACCTAGGGTTGACCTACGATGGGATGATCAAGGAGCTGAGGGCTTTGGAGAGTTTGGCAGTTGGGGATATGTTGTGGCACGTTGATGCAAAGCAGCGGGTAATCAGCACACGTTGGGTGGTTGCTGCTAAAACCGAAAGGATCGAGGGTCGCGAGACGCCCCTGGTCCGCTGCAGAATCGTCGCCCGTGACTATTCCACCGGACCGTCAGCCGCGCAGCTAGGCATTAGCTCTCCCACGGCATCTGCCGAGGCGCTGAAGCTGTTTCTTGCGGTTGTTGGGGCCCAGGGTTTTAACATTCTGGGGCTCGACGTTTCCACGGCTTTCCTCTTCGCTTACCTTAGGGGGGAGCAGGTTGTGGTGAGCATGCCTGAGGGTTGTCGGGGTCCCGCCGGAGAGAGATTGTTTCTCAAACTGAATAAAGCATTGTATGGCCTGCGCTCGGCAGCGCTACACTGGACGCGCCATCTCTCTCAGCTCCTGCACAAGCTCTTCAACATGAAGGCCTGTCCCACTGAGCCCTGTCTCTTCGTAGGGTCCTACAAGGGTCAAGCAATCTACATCTTGAGTTATGTTGACGATTTGCTTTTGGCTGGGCCAGACACAGCTGATCTTTACCAGATGGTGGAGGAACTACGCAAAGAGCTGAAGCTCAAGGTCACCGCGGACCTCGCCAAAGATGGTAAGATACATTTCCTAGGAAGGGAAGTTTTTCGGTCTGAGCAGGGTGGGGACCTTAAGTTTGGAATGGACCCAGGGTACATGAACGATATTCTGGAGGAGTACAAGCTTGAGAACGCCAAGGGTGTCCCAACGCCACCTTGCTTGAGGGATTTGCTTGACAGGTCTCTGGACGAGCCAGGGTTGAGGGTTCCTCTTTCTGCCGAAGCTGCTGCCCGCTACCGCCGTGCACTTGGCAAGCTGAGCTGGCTGAGCACCACTCGCGGGGACTTAGTCTACTATGTCTCTGTTTTGGCTCGGGGCCAGAGCTCGCCGCTGGAGGTGCATGAGCGCGCTATGCGCGCTGTCCTGCGGTACCTCAAAACTGTCGTCAACTACTTTCAGCTTTTTCCGCGCCAAAGTGTTGAGAAACTCCGTCTCCATGCCTATGTGGACGCCTCGTGGGGCAGCGAGCGCTCCGTCGATCGTCGGTCGATCTCGGGAGGGTGCCTCATGCTTGGCAAGGCCTGCATTAAGACGTGGGCGAGACTGCAGCAGTCCGTTGCTTTGTCTTCGGCCGAGAGCGAGCTCTATGCATTGGTTGAAGGGGCTAAGGAAGCCCTAGGGGCACGGTGTGCTGTTGAGCATATTCTGGGGTGTGACCCAGTTGTGCCTCTGCTTTACTGTGATAGTGAGGCCGCCGTTGCAATCAGCCAAGCTGAGGGTCTTCGCAAGCTACGCCACATTGATATCAGGTCTTGTTTTCTCCAACAAGAAGTTCAGTCCGGATCCCTCCGCGTGGTTTCTGTGCGTGGCACTGAGAATCCTGCGGATATCTTTACCAAGAACTTAGATTTAGCCTCCACGCTCAAGCACATGCATCATGTGGGTCTGCGCGCCGCCTTGCTTCCAGAGGGGGTAAAGGGGTTGGCAATGACAATTTTGCGGAATTGTGTTGCGAAGGGAGGGATTTCTTCGTTGATGGCCTTTCACCAAGACTTGCAGTTGGACTGCAGGGAAAGGATCTCCTATGGCGATCTTTTGCAAAGCATCGAGGACTTTGCACATCGCCAACCAAACCTCGCATGAGTTTCTCATGTCGTCGTTGCATTGCGGCAGCACCCAGAGCACAAGATAGGTTCGCAGCACCTGCAGGAAGTTCAGAGCCTCCGATGCACTGCACTTGAGAGGATCACTGTAGGATCCTCTCTTTTGCAACACATCCTTCGGGGCAGCACCTCGCAGACGTGCAGGCCATGTGAAAGTCCTTGCGAACCGCTCAATGTCGTTGTGCTTCCAGCCATTGTGATGGAGGTCTCCAAGGAAAAGCCCTGTCAGCACATTGAACAGCCCTGAGACCAGGTAGACGTGCATCCAGTCGAACATAATGCAGTCTATCAGCTTGGGGCCATAGGCTGCATGGGCCAGTAAGCCCATTGGTTTAAAGTTAAAACCCAGGGCAGTCTGCAGCTTTTCGAACTTTGTCTTGGTCTGCAAGGGCTTCTGCTCAGCGAGGTAGTCCATATAGGCTTTGATGGACTCCTTCGTCTGGCGACGAAATCTGGAAATGTCGGTCTCCAGGCTGGATACTTGTGTGCCCCGACTGCTGGCAGCAACGTGCGACTTGTGGTCGACTGCATTCTGGCAGTGCACACAGAACACGAGTCCAGAAGCACCCTTGTTGCAGAGGGTTTGCTTTATAGCAGCTTCGTCGGAGATTAGTATGCCAAGATCGGCAAACAGAGGGGGACAGCCGATGTTCACGTGCTTCAGTTGATTGCCCGGTGCGATTTCGTCCGAATACCAAATCAGAGTCCAAGGCTTCTCGTAGGTCGGCGGCTTCAGTGCCATTTGCTTCTGCACGAGCTGGCCGAAGGCTGCACAGTGCTCGCATGCCCAAGCCAGCATTGCAGCTGGACTCAAAATCGGAATTGTAACATCGGTGCCGTCTTCCTTCTGAAGTGTGGGCTCGATGTAGATGGGCCCATAAGGGGTAGCATGATCATGCAGCAGTTCTTCACGAGCTCTTTTCACCGAGCTCCGGCCTGTAGCTGCAGGTAGCTCATCCAGCTCACGAATCTCCTTCAGGATCTGAGCGAGGGCTCTTTGGGTGGTGAAAACTTTCCTTCCCAATTGCGACAACGGGTTGGCCGATTTGGATCCCGACGATTGGGAAGCCATGTGGTCTGCTTGCGAGCTTTACACAGCCCTGCAAAAGCGACCAAAGTTGTTTCAGGACTCTCTGATATGTGCATGTTCTGGATAAACCCCATTGCAGTGTGCTTGCATATATGTGTGTATATATGTATGTACACATATATATATATATATGTGTGTATACACGAAACCCATAAACTGTCATAACATGCCATATGTATATACATATATATATATATATATATACTTTGGTACAGTGTATAAAGTACATACAAACACGAACTTTATAAAACCCTAAACCCTTAAACCCTAAACCCTCAACCCTCAACCCTAAAATACACTCTGCAACACATGGACATGATCCTCGATCTGGGCATCATGCAAGCTGTCGAAGCTATCATCCACATCGCTCGTGCAGACATGTGCATGTGCGGGCAAACCACACATTTTGCGGCTCAGTCGAATCCTAAGTCGCTGCATATAATACGAGATTGCCATGCAAGCCTCCGTGCACACGGCATAGAGACTGTTCTGTCCGTGCACAAAGTTCGTTGAGGCTGATGGCACTGAAACCCCGGGTGAATGGAACAACGGTGCACCATGGCACCACAGATAAACATATATAGACCTGAGACGGTGCAGGATGTCTCTGCAGTCCCCGTGATTTCTTGCCGTATACGTGCACGGCCATTGCCGTCTGCATGTGTATACGGCCATCACTGCAGAAGTCACCTGTACAGTCTGCAAGAAAGGCATATAGACATGCATACATGTTCCTATATAGACTGTATATACATCTACATAGATATAGACTGCACACTTCGCATACAGAGACACATGTCATGTCTGCATGCCAACCAAAATCACTTCTTGAAGCACGACGGACAACAGCCCGGTCGGTTGCGGCATTTGCCGCAGCCGTTGGGTCGCAATTTCAACCTCTTGCTCATGCTCAGATTCTTGATGCTCAGCTTGGGCTGGGACTGCGACTTCGCCTTCGCTGCCGGCTTCTTCTTCGGCTGCACACTCTTCGTCTGCTGGAGCTTTGCGGCAGGCTTTTTCCGGGGCTTCTCAGTCTCCTCATCTTCCTCATCTCCCTCTGCTGGTGTTTTGTTGGCATTCCATGCAGCAAGCATCTGACGAGCCTGCTCGGCCGGACCCACAGGCTCCTGCCCAGCCTTGGGCACAGCAAGCTGCTGATCGTGAGGCTGCACCGGGCATGCGGCCACAGCAAGCTGCTGCTGATGAGGCTGCACCGGGCATGCGGCCACAGCAAGCTGCTGATGATGAGGCTGCACCGGGCTTGAAACACGATGGCTGGACTCTGGAGAGTCGTGCGGTGGGCTCGTCGTCGCCATCATGCTTGTAGCCCGATTTGGACTGGTTTCGTCGCCGCCGGCTTTTCCCAACAACTTGAAGCCTGGCAGTTGCGAGCTGCTGGACTGCTGCTGAAACTGCTGCATGCATGTCGACATGCAGCTCATCAGTCCCATCATGCTCATGCCGTTGCCGTCGGCCATCATCTTCTTCATCAGGCTGTGATTCATCATGTTGTTGCCAACGATGCTGCTGCTGCTGCTGAGGGACTTGTGACTGCCTCGCAGAGGACCATGGGCAACAAGGCTCGAAGCAGGGAGCTCGCCTGCTTCAGCCTTTTCAAAGTGACTGCGGTAGATCTCGGGCAACAAGGCTGGCTCCTTGTACACGGCCACAAATTCGTTGTCCTTGGCATCCTTGTTCTTTTTGAGCCTGCTTTTGATGATGGTTTTCAGCTTCTTCACAGCCCCGTGAAAATCATCAGGAGACTCAAGGCCAGCTGACTGCATTGTTGCCATCGTTGAGACGATATGACCTGTCGCCTTCTCCGATGGCCAATACATGCCCATCTTCTCCATGATCTCGGCGATGTGATTGCACCTTGAGTGCACTCCAGCACTGGCCTCGGCCAGGACTTGCTTGTCTTCAGCTGACAAAAAGCAGAAGAAGTTGTCGACTTCCTGGGTCTGGTTGCCCTTCTTCTTCTTTTCAGCAGCCATCATCCCCGAGGAGACGGAGTTAGAGACTGCTTTTCCAAGCTCCTTTTTTTGGCTCTCGTTCCAGGGCCCTTGCTGGATCAAGCTGCACAGCTCAGAGGCCTCTTGCATGGTCACTTTGTGTTGGGAGATGGCTCGCACGGCACAGTCTTTCTGTGCAGCAAGCATGCCGTCGAAGTGATCGCCCATGATCGGCTTCTGCTTGTGGAGCATGTCATGGAGCTGGTTCAAGAAGGCGGCTGCCATGGCGAGAGGAAAGCAGGAATCCCTGAAAAGTTGTCCTGCTGTGGCGAGCTAGGAAAGCCCTGCCTGCGAACAACTCAGGATTCCAGCATGCATTTCTTGCACGACAACCATGCATATACATGTATGTAGTGACACAACCTGCGCACTGAGCACTCGATCTTTCCTCTCCTCATTCAAGAATCAAAACAGTGGCACGGACTGGGCCAGACGGAGAAACCTCGGATCCGTCTTTCGAAAAAGCCGTTTCTTGGGCAGCTTCTTGGCTGCCATGGTCTTGGACCAGTTGCAGCTCCAAATCTTGCGGCCGTGGACAAGGAGCTTGTGGCCCATGACCTTCAACACGTGTGTCGACTGGATGCGACCAGCCACCAGCATGCTGTGCCGGATGGCGGTGCTCACAGCCGACACTTTCACGTCTTGCTCGGCCGGGTACGTGCCGGACCAGACTTGTGCTCCGGAGAGCATCCGGGCCTGGACAACCAGAAACCCAAACCTCAGCCGGCCGGTCAAGGACACTGCCACGGCCCGGACCTCAGCAGGCCGAGTGACCATCCACTTGAGGAGGCCACCTCGCTCGCATCTCCAAAGGCGAGCTCCCTGGCCCAGCTCCCTCGACAAGTAACAAGCATATCCCTGATGCGGAAAATAATCGTGTCCTACATGTATACGATAGCATTTCAGCAATCCCAAAGGCTCGAACTTCTCGTTCCCCGGCACAAGCTGATTGGGCTCGCTCCATGCCGCTTCCAGTTGTTGTACGTCCGGACGAGCGACCACGGCCATGATTACGATAAAAGGTGCGGCTTCGAAGTTGTATGCTCTGCTTGCGAGCAAAATGCCCTGCAAGCGAGATACAACTGATAAGCTGACCCTGCTTGCTGCGACCTATTAATGCATGACAGTCTACAGTGCACAGCAGAAATCACTCATGAAATGCCATGATGCACAGACGGCTTTCTTTGAATCGCAGCACAAGTCAATCCATTGTTCCTAGTGAACCAGCAAAAAGTCTCTGGAGCTGCACTGCTATGTAACAGGAGCTCTCGTGGTCACGGAGCAGCACAGCATCGTGGCACGAGTCCACGGCCATGATGGACATCCAGACACCTTCGTCTTTGTAGATGGGGCTTCCAACAATGCCTAGCACGAGCCACTCCAGCACACGTTCCCGATCTTCGGTTTCCAGGCTCCACGTCTGCAGATTCTCGGTCTGCAGTTTTCGCAACCAGCTAGTGACTAGTGGCGAAGAACATCGTAACTATCTGGCATCCACAGACTGATTTCCGTGCAGCAGAGCCAAAGCTCTCGGATGTTCTACCTATTTTGTTGTGGGCTTTCGTCATCCTTGCACTGGAGCCTCCAAAGTCGCAGGCAGGGCTGTCAGCTCGCCAGCAGGCAGAAGCACATGTGCAGAGCCAGTGCACGTGGGAGGCTGAAACACACGGTTGTGTTATTGCTTCCGTGGTTGTTCTGACTGCTGTTGTTGCTGTGGCTGTGGTGCTTTCTTGTTGTTGGTGCCTGGTGGTTGTCTCGGTGGTCCTGTTGTTGCTGTTGTCGCTGTTGTTGATGTATGTAATATAAAAGAATAGATAATATACCAGGATCGTAATACATTATATAGTAATATATAATATCGTGGTATAGTAGTATATACAGTATAGTGCATTATAGTATACAATGTAGAATATATTCTGTATACTATACTATACAGGAGTATAGCATTGTCATGTAGTATAATATATAATAGTATATTCTGCTGACAGACTACAGAGACAGAGAGACAAACACACACACACACACACACACACACACACACACACACACACACACACAACACCGCACACACACACACACACACACACCCACACACACCACACACACCACACACACACACACACACACACACACACACACACACACACACACACACACACACACACACACACACACACACACACACACACACACACACACCACACACACACACACACACACACACACACACACACAGCACACACACACACACACACCACACCACACACACCACACACACCACACACACCACACACACCACACACACCACACACAACACACACACACACACCACACACACCACACACACACACACACACACACACACACACACACACACACACACACACACACACACACACACACACACACACACACACACACACACACACACACACACACACACACACACACACACACACACACACACACACACACACACACACACACACACACACACACACACACACACACACACACACACACACACACACACACCACACACACACACACACACACACACACACACACACACACACACACACACACACACACACACACACACACACACACACACACACACACACACACACACACACACACACACAGACACACCGACACACTGCACCGGAAGTCTATCCGCACAGGACTTGTTTTCGTGCCCAGGGCACCCGATCACTTGTGTGGTTGGTCGGCAGCAGCATCAGCTGCAGAAAGCAACAAGTTGCAGAGGCCGGGCACGGCTATGTGTATGACTGTATATGCAGCAGCCCAGAAGGTGCCTAACAGCTTCGTGTGTTACCCTAGCAGCCCTAGCACGATAGCCTGGCCCCTGCAGTTGGGAGGTCGGACACGTCTATGCATTCCGGCTGCAGCAACACAAGTGTCTTCAGCAGAAGCTAGATCACAAGGCCTGTGTGTTATGTTGCATCAATGCAGAGCAGCCAAGCTACGTGGCAGAAACCACCAGGTTTATGCATGAATAAACCCCGGCAGCCTCGAAGCTAGAAAAGTTTATCCGCGAATATTTCTGGTATAGAAGTAAGGCCTTAAAGCCCCCAAAATTTATTTATGGATAAACCTTAGCAACTTTTTAGCTCCGAAGGTTTATCCATGCATAAACCTGGCCAACTACCCGAAGGGATGCCATTGGACCTGTTGCCCCCAATTTCAGAGCTCCGGGAAGCTGCGGCGGCACCTGCATCGAGTCAGGATAACCACGGCCAGCAACCAACACAACCACTGCAACTGCACCACACTCGTCAGCCAAGGCAGAAGCCTCTGTGCACAGCCACCACAGCCGATGCTGTCCCAGCACCTGGGACCGCCAGACAGGAAAACCGCACCGAACCCACGGGCACAGCCAAGGACGGAACCGTCCGGGCTTTCACCCCTGGCGGTCCTGAAGCAGGCTTGTCAGAGGAATACCCAGAAACAACCATGGTGCTCTACGGCGGCACTCCTTCTGCAACCTCTCCATGCTTTTCGCCATGAGGTGCATCGTCGAGACCGAGGTTCGCAGGTCCTGGCAAAATGCTTTGTTTTGTGGGGGGGTGGGTTGTTGGCGATGCTTTGTTGGGATTATAGAAGGGTGTCCTCCAAGTGCTGGGTGCTGTCCTTGGCCTGCTGCTTCGCCTCGATCAAGCGGATAGCAGCTCCTCCACGGGTCCGGCCACGTGTCCGACCACCACCCGGAGGGCAAGCCTGCCAGGCTGGAACGAACGATCCGGCCCAGTGGCAATGCTTCCGGCCTTCCCATTCTCATCGATGTAGTGGGGGGCCACGTAGTGGCCGCCCTTGCCGGAAGCACGAAAGTGCCTGTTGTCGGCAGAATAAAAGCTATAATCTCGGCTGACCTCGACTCCCCAAACACCTGCCTCTGCCCTTGCTCGGCATGGGCTTCTTCCATCCTGTCCAAATAATCAAGAACAAAGAAGGCTTGCAAGGGCAGGGGTTTCATAATGAATCGGTTTCGGTGCACCTGCTGCACTGGAGCTTCCTTTCCACTTTTTGTCCTACCGTGGCACACAGAACCCTGCATGCTTCCAAGCCAAGAAGAAATGCCGGCCTGGCCCCATCCATCCTCTTCGTCCTCCTGCACAATCACTTTTATTTGTTGGGACGGGCTTGCTCAAGAATTGGACCCGAGCCTCGTCCTGGGCCATCTTGCCGTGCCCCTGACAGTACAGTGTTCTCTCAGACATGTATAATCATGTCAGAGACAGAGCATGCTGGCAGCCTCCCGACCTATATTCTATCCAGAAACCCAACATCTTATCTAAGTCTTCCTCTCCGATAAGAAAGCGCCAGCCTTTGACCTGTGCCCCGTATCGCCCGCCCGGACATGCCAAAGTGCACCTATACTCAACATTTTGTTCCTGTACTGAAGTCACACAAATTGGCGCACAGGAAGGCATTCCAGCCGTATAGGGGGTTTCTATACAGGGCTTTTAAGGTTTTTAATATTTAAGATTTATACAGGAAACCTGCCGGCGACCTAGAAGCCCTGCCTGCGATCCTCTCTAGACATCTACAATATATATATATGTATATATATATATATATATATATATGTATATATATATATATATGTATATATATATATATATGTACACAGGATCTACAGATATCTGTGTATCTGTGAATCTATGTCTTATATAATCTAATCCAAACTATATATAACTTAACCTACAAGCTTTCTAAGCTGCTACATACCTACTTATGTATAATCTTTATATACCCTAATGTATACCCATTTAATTTCACCCAAGCAACCTAATTTAATTGAATCTAAGATCCAATGTCAGCCTATCTATATATGTATATAGATAGGCTGACATTGGAACCTGAAGCCAAACCTTTTAATTACACCCTTTCCAAATTCCAGCCTTCATCTTCTTTGGCGGCGGATCTGCCGGCTCCATGGGCCGTCTCTTCTGGTCCTGCCAAAGGAGATATATCTATATGGCACATATATACCAATAAGAAACTCCAGAACCTCGCTTGCAGGCCTTGATCTTCGGCTTTGCCTTTAGGACTACGGCGGCTTTCCCGCCTTCACATGCCATGCACAACACTTGCAAGGAGGGCCAGAGGCGAAAACCGTGGAAAACCGTGCACGGCCTGCATCCTCCTCCTCGTCATCGTCCACCTCCACCGTCTCATAGACTGGTGAGTCCTCGTGTCCTGCCCAGAGGCATGTGTAGGTTTAGGGTTCATATTGGGTTTAGGGTTTTTTCAGGGGTTTATAAGGGTTTTGTTTTATGTAGGGTTTCGGTTTAGGGTTTATATTCATCTATGTCGATCTATATAGATTCTATTTGCAGTTCTTCTATAAAGTGATTTATGATATGGTATACATTATATATATATATATATCTATATATATATATATATATACATATACATATATGTGTATATATATATATATGTATATATATATATATATATGTATATGTATATATACACATTTATACATATATACATGTAAAGACACATATATCTAAATATATATATATATATATATATCTATTTATATATATATATATATATATATATATAAATAGATATATTTACTATTATATGTCATCTCAAGATGTGCCTTCGACACAGATCGCAGCGGCTGTGCCGTCCCAGTAGACCCAGCCACTGGTCGGCACATCCACCTTCTTCTTGTCGGAGTGGGTCCAAAGGATCTCTCCTGCCAGTTGATGCAAGAATCCCTCAGCCCTGCAACCCCGACACCCCGCCATGAGAGCCCATGGCACCTCCAGCCCCAAGGATCTTCCACCCCATGGTGGTAGACCAGCTGATCCCGGCTCCTGCATGGTTTTGTCTGTTAACTCCGTATCTCTGCAAAAGGCTGGGCAAACCCGCCTTTGTCGTTGTACCACTTGCCCTTGGCCTTCGAGGTGAACGGCTCGTTGAGGCCGCAGGTCTCGAAGCTGTCCGCCTGCATTGCAAGCACAGAAACACAAAAACAAGCTCGTGCATCACTCTTTCCATGGCCTCCTCCGCCGTGGGCATGTGGCCATTCAGAAAGCCGAAAGCCAGCATGGCAAAAAAAGGACCCAGCCTCCCGTGGGAGGCAAGCAACTTGAGCTGAAAAACAGCTGATGATCATTGCAATATATGCCGCACATGTGCACTTTAAGCAGTGCATGACCTTGCAAACGGAAAGGTGCAACCTGCCACTGCTGCAGAGACACACACACACACACACTGCACACACACGCACACACACACGGACACACACAGAGACTGACTTGCAAGCTCGTGTGTCGCACCGCAGGCAGGGCTGCAAGCTCGCCAGCAGGTTTCACAACCCACCCTGCCCATGAACTTTCCATCGTCATCATTGTACATTGCAAGCACGTATGTATAGTGCATGCAAAAGGGTTTTTGAAACATGCCAGATTGCACAAAACTTGCCACATGTATAAGGCTTAGTATAAGGTTCTCTGAACCTCCCGGACAGCATGATGGCATCACTGCTTTGGCTTGGCCTCCCCCTTCTTCTGACGAGGCTTTGCCTCTTCCTTGTCGACACAAGACTTGAGCCAGGAGAGGTTTTCGGGACGGAGCTCCATCCAGATCGTTCCAGTCGACAGCCCCTCCGAAAGCAAGGACATCTGGAATTCAGCCACCGACACGTCCACTATTTCAGGAAGGAGGTGGAGGTCCTTGGCCGATGACCTTCGAATGGTTTTCTTGGCTTTCTTCTTCGGCTTCTCATCCTCGTCGCCCAACCCATCCTCGACTTTCAGAGCTTCCTCAAGGGCTTTGTCGCAGGCCGACTGCCGGGCTTCCAAGATCTTGCCGATCACTGGCACGTTCAAGGAACCACTTTCTGCAGCCCGCCCACCCCCAAGCTGAAGTCGCTTGCCGGTCATCATGCGAGTCAGCTGTGCAGACCACTTCGTGAAGGAGAAAAAGGTCCGCTCCTCGACTATTTTCTGAGTGGGGCACCACTCATGCTTGCCGAAAAAGATGATCTTGCGAGTCTCCACTTCGAAAGTTGGATCCTCTGCCATGGCGACTCAACAGCTTCTCACTGTGTCTGTCCTTGAGATGCAAAGCCTGCCAAGCGAGCAAAGTTGCCCTGCTGAGGCGGCTCCAGCACAACTCAAGTGCAAAACCTGCATGCACTGCTGCAACAATGCATTCGATGCTGCACTGAATCAAGGCTTGCATGCAACTGTCAAGAGAAAACAAACATGCTCAAGCACCGCAATTTCTGTGAACCAATGCAGCTGGACCTCTGCTTATGCCGATCGTGCCACCCTGCAGCCTGAAAAGCGCCTGATCATGCTGTCAGGTTGCCATATGAGGCTGTGCCCGGGTGGGCCTTCGTTCCAATGCCAAGCGAAAGCAAAACCGCTGGCATCCACATGTGCACATGATGCATATATAGAAATCACATGCCTCTCACTTCTTCGCTTTCTTCTTCGCTGCAACTGCCACTCCGCCGGACGACGATCGCTTCGCCGCACTGGGGGAGAGGTGGAGGGGTGGAGCTTTAAGGTCCTTGGCCTTATAGCACAAAACGACCTCCCCGGCAGCAATCTTCTTGGTGCTTTTGAAGACGGGGATCTTGATGGAGGAAGACTTTTCTGCTTGCATGGGCTGCAACTTCACGTTGGCCTCGTCCTCGTCCTCTGTGTAGTTCACGAAGAAAAACGGGGGGACTATGAGAGGCTTGATCTTGTCATCATCTTCCTTGGGCAGCACACAAGAGGAGCTCAGGTAGAACTTCCTCGCATCCATCGTCCAGTCCGTCGTCACCTCGAACCAGCTCGCTTGGCTGGAGCCCTTGTGGAGGGTCTTGCTCGTCAATGGCACCAATGTCACCTTTCCCTTGGGGATGTCCTGCGAGGCCTGAAGCTGCTTCTGGGGCTTCGTTTGCAAGGCAAGCTTGTCGATGCCAGAGGACTGTTCATCAAAAAGTTTCTGAAGCTGCCTCGCGATCTCTGCCTGGAGCATGAAGGCCTGGAGCTCAACATTCGTTGAAGGGCTGTAGATGCTCAAATCTTCCAGTACCTCTGCCTCACTTTTGGGGGTGAAGACGGCCCACTCGTTGCCCAGAATCTTGTCAATGGATTCCTTCGCGACGTCGCCGGAGTCCAACTGGATGTACACAAGGCCGCCTTTCACATCTTGGATCTTGCCAGTGGTCTTGTCAGCTCGCCTCCTCACATTGCTGCCCAATGCATAGCCTCGGGATTCCAGCAAACCCACCGGATTCTTGATTGCACCATGCTCATCCAACTCAAGCAGCACCGGTGCACTCGCGACGATGCCTTTGCCGCTGCAGGTGCTGCTGTTGCCTCGGCGAAGCCTTGCCATTTCAAGGGAAGGGTCCTCCCAGTGAGCTCCTGGGCCACAAGGCAGAAATCATGGGCCACGGCCTGCAAGGTCCTGTAGTCCTTCTCGCCCTTCTGCTTCAAGCCAAGGACCATGCTGCACATGCACATGTCCATGGTTGCAAGGGCCTTCACCAGGCCGGCATCCTTCCACTCCCCGAGTTGCTCTGTTAGCATGGCCCGCACAGCCAACATGATCTCGTCTGCTTCTTTCACCTTCGTGAAGTTCGCAGCGAGCTTCCGGCAGTCCCCCACAGAGACGTTTTGCCGCACATATGCCGACTTGACCAGGCCGTTGCGAAAGCAAGCAACGGCCTCGGAGCCATGCCCCTTGATCTCCATGGACAAAGCCTGCCACAGATCCGGCCCCAGCTGTCTTGAGGAAGGGCAGCATGCTCGCACAAAGAGCTCCGTTTCTTTGAGATGTACGGCCTCTTGGCCCCCGCTGCACTTGAGGCAGTAGGAGTACATGTGAGGGACGGATACCCCGCACTTCGGTTTCGAAGCCAATATCTGCTTCTTCAGAGAAGCAAACGAGGGGGTCTGGCCCGAAGCCTGCATCTTACAGTAGAGGCCATGAATTCGGCGAAGGACTTGGAGTTCATGCTCCCGCCTCTGCAGGGAGGTGTTGCCCGACCTGGAGACCAGCTCGAGGATTTCGGGCACCTCGCGGGCGACGGCTGCAGAGATTACATCCCACGACAAACCTTCGGTCGCGGCTTCGTGGAAAGCAGGATCGCGATTTTTCAGCATCTCCATGCTCAATCGCCCCCCGGTGCACACGAGCTCGTTGGAGTGTGGCACGGCATCGCGAAAAAGTCGCAAGGCCGAGTTGGTGTGAGAGCCGCAGATGCTGGTCACCTTGAGGAGATCCGGCTCCATGGAGCCGAGGCCCCCGTTGGCCGAAGCGAAGAGATTGGAGTTCCAGTCCCTCACGTGCTGGCTTTCAACTTCCACGCCTACGGCATGCACTCGGCCTTTCACGAACCCCACATCGATGATGCTGTCCACAAGGTCCAGCACGTCCTGGGGGTTCACCCCGTAACCGTCTCGGTTACTGGGGTGAACCCCCACCAGCTTGGGCTCCAGCTTCATGGTCGACAGCAGGTGGTTCTTCCTGAGCAAGTCCAAGGTGGCTTCAACCACTTTAACCATTTTCTCTCCGTCGGCAGCTTCCTCCAGAAAGGACTGCAGCTGCACCTTCACTTCGTGCGAAAGGGACATGTCGATGACACCGAAGATCACCGAAGCAAGGCTGCCAGGATCCCGCAAACTCAAAACTCAGCTTGAGCAACAGCATGCACACACTGCTTGCGAGCCGGTGGCCCTGCAAAGCGTCTTAAGCATGCCTGCCTGCATGCATTGCTCTGAGCACAGCAAGAAAGGTTTACATCATTTTCTCATATGCATGCATGCTCTGAGCACAGCAAGAAAGGTTTGCATCATTTTTCTCACATGCAAAGAAAGCTTCCAACTTCATGCAAAGAAAGCTTCCAACTTCATTGGACGTGCAGAAAAACATCCTTCCCATCATCTCCTGGCCAGAGACCATGTCAACTTGTTCAACTTATTATCTGACTTACAAACGAATACCTAAGTCACCTAAGTTACTTACCTGAGTTACTGTAAGTCACTTATTAACTCACACCTATAACATATATAAGTCTCTTATTCACTTACACTACTTACTATCTTGTCCTCAACACTTAGTAAGTTATACCTCTCCACATAGCATAGTTGCTGAACTTATAACCAGACTTACTTCATTTATAACTTAACATACAAGAGATAGGTAACTATATCAAGTCTGTTATTCATTTACTAACCACACCGGCCCTTTAAGTAGGGGCCAGGATCACTGGAGAGACGAAGCGGCGGCCTTCATTGAACGGGGTGGAATCGGCCCAGGCATTCAAATCCCGTTCATCTCTACTGAACTGAGCTGATGCCGCATCTCCATGAGCAGAATCAAGATACACACCGATACGGTTTTTACCGCCTACAGGAGCTGTGTGAGCAGCGCAATTACCAGATGTTGTACATGTTGCGCGAATCCCACTTTCCGACCAGCGGCAACGACATGCAGCGCCTGCTGGATTCTTGGCCGCGGCCGTAACTGGATTATACCCAGTGACGGTGTTGGACCGCGCTCAAGATGATCAGAGTCATCTATTATGACCAGCGACATACGTCGTAGGGTCCATTTCCTGGCTCTTGCCACTGGTTGTGGATTGTGCACGATCGCGACACAACAGGACCCCGGGGCTGACCGTTGTTCGACGGAACTAGAACGGCGGCCGGAGCTCCGACTTTGGGCTCCACCGGTGGTTTTGGACAGCTCTAGGCGACGGCCTTTTGCTGTTGTGGATCGGTCGCTGAGGCCCCGTAGCTCGTGCTGAACGGCTAACACCGGCAAAGCCTGTGCGCCGCAGCTAGCTCTTTGCCCCATTTTATTGAGCCGCCCTGTTTCACCGCTGTTTTGGTTTGTTTGTTGGTTTGTCTTGTTTGTAGGGACCGAGTGCTACAGCCGTAGTCGACGAGGCCCGCCCACGCCAAAAAAATTTTAAATTTGGGTTTAAACCCAGGGTTAGAGCCTGGGTTTCAATCCTGGGTTTGGAACCTAGGTTTGACCCTGGGTCAAACCTAGGTTCAAACCTGGGTTTGAACCTGGGTTTATTAAACCTGCGTTCCAAACCTGGGTTAGAAACTGGTTTTCAAAACTGGGTTTGGAACCTGGGTTTAAACCAGGGTGAATCCTGGGTTCATTAATTCCGGGTTCCAAACGTGGGTTAGAACTGGGTTTCAAAACAGGGTTTTGGAACCTGGATTTAAACCTGAATTAAACCCCAGGTTCCAAATCTGGTTGGAACCTGGGTTTCAAACCTGGGTTCAAACCTGGGTTTTAACCTGGGTTTAATCCGGGTTTTATCCAGAGTTGAACCCAGGTTCGAACCTAGGTTTAACCCAAATTAAAACCCAGGTTAAAACCAGGTTTCAAACCTGGGTTCCCTGCATTGTTGTTGTTGTTTCCCTCCCCCCGGGGGGGAGGGAACCCAGGTTCAAGCCCAGGTTCAAAGCTGGGTTAAACCGCGGGCGGGGAGGGAACCAGCCTCGCTCGTTCGCCGTTCACAGAACTTCTCCGCCTCTCTTGGGCGGAACGCGAACCAGCAGTCCGCATTCTCTCGGGTTCTCCACACTGCACCATTCATTGCTTTGAGTTGTCTGCCACCTTGCTGGCGGCGGAGCCGGTGAGCGTGGTGGAACTGGCAAGCTATTTCGTGCTAACGACTTCGCCGACTGTCGCAACAACTCGTTTTTTCACTTGTGCAGTTGTTTGATCACATGTTTCTTCTTCTTTTCGAGCTTTTTTCCCCAAACAGGTACGGTTTGGGGTTCTCTCCTCAGAAAAAAGGTGGGCCGCGGTGGGTTGGATGGCTGGGCCGCGGCAAACTGGCTGCGTTTCATTGGGCTCCCTTCATGTTTCCTTTCTGGGCTCCTGGGTTGGACGGGTGGGACGCGGCGAAGGACCTCGGCTCCCCTTCACTTCCCTGCATGTTTCCTTTCTGGGCTCCTGGGTTGGACGGGTGGGACGCGGCGAAGGACCTGGGCTCCCCTTCACTTCCCTTCATGTTTCCTTTCTGGGCTCCTGACTTGGACCGGTGGGCCGCGGCGAAGGACCTGGGCTCCCATTCACTTCCCTTCATGTTTCCTTTCTGGGCTCCTGGGTTGGACGGGTGGACCTGGGCTCCCATTCACTTCCCTTCATGTTTCCTTTCTGGGCTCTTGGGTTGGACGAGTGGGCCGCGGCAAAGGACCTGGGCTTTATTGGGCTCCCTTCATGTTTCCTTTCTGGGCTCCTGGGTTGGAGCGGCGAAGGACTCCCATTCACTTCCCTTCATGTTTCCTTTCTGGGCTCCTGGGTTGGACGGTTGGGCCGCGGCGAAGGACCTGGGCTCCCATTCACTTCCCTTCAGGTTTCCTTTCTGGGCTCCTGGGTTGGACGGGTGGGCCGCGGCAAAACCTGGGCTTTATTGGACCCCTTCATGTTTCCTTTCTGGGCTCCTGGGTTGGACGGGTGGGCCGCGGCAAAGAACTGGGCTATCGTTGGGTTCCCTTCATGTTTCCTTTCTGGGCTCCTGGGTTGGACGGTTGGGCCGCGGCAAAGGACCTGGGCTCCCATTGGGCTCCATTCATGTTTCCTTTCTGGGCTCCCATTCACTTCCCTTCAGGTTTCCTTTCTGGGCTCCTGGGTTGGACGGGTGGGCCGCGGCAAAGGACCTGAACTCCATTGGACTTTTCATGTTTCCTTTCTGGGCTCCTGGGTTTGTCTCTCGTTGGGCTCCCTTCACGTTTCCTTTTTGGGCTCCTGGGTTGGACGCGTGGGCCACGGCGAAGGACCTGGGCTCCCCTTCATGTTTCTGGGTTCCTGGGTTGGACGCTGGGCTATCATTGGGTTTGTTTCATGTTTCCTTCCTGGGCTCCTCCTGGGTTGGATGGGTGGGCCGCGGCGAAGGACCTGGGCTCCCACTCAGTTCCCTTCAATTAGTTTTTGGGCTTGGTTGGACGGGTGGGCCGCGGCAAAGAACCTGGTCTATCATTGGGTTCCGTTCATGTTTCCTTCCTCGGCTCCTGGTTTGGACGGGTGGGCTGCGGCAAAGGACCTGGGCTCCCATTGGGCTCCATTCATGTTTCCTTGCTGGGCTGGTGGGTTGGACCTGGACTCCCGTTGGGCTCCCTTCATGTTTCCTTGGGCCGCGGCAATCCCGTTTACTTCCCTTCATGTTTCCGTTTTGGGCCCCTGGATTGGATGGGTGGGCCGCGGCAAAGGGATTGTGCTGCCAATTGGGCTTCCTTCCTGTTTCCTTTCTGGGCTCCTGGGTTGGACGGGCGGGCCGCAGCAGAGGGCCTGAGCTCCCGCTGGGTTCCCTTAATGTTTCCTTTCTGGGCGCCTGGTCTGCCACAAACGTCTACAGCAGAGGCCAGGCATCCGGTATCCTGTCTTGCAAGGCAGCAATGCTGCAACAGTTGCGTGTTTTTTCCGTGCGTGGTTTCTGCTGCAGCAAGATCCTGTGGACGACGTTCTTCGTTTTGTCGGCGGAAAAAATCGTCAACGGTTTCGTGTAAAGAAAGATTTTCGTTTGCGATGTAAGCCGACAAACCCCTTCGCTTTCCTTTTTGCCCTGTTTGTGGGGCAAAGTTGCCCGTCTTTCCCGTGCTACAGCCAACCGATCCGTATACTAATCTCTTTTGTGCTTCTTCCATGAACGTCTACAGCAGAGGCAAGGTATCCTGTCTTGCAAATCGGCAAGGTTGTGACACTTGCGGGAAACTTGCCGCAATATCCTGTGGACGACGCTCTTCGTTCGGTCTGCGGAAAAATCGTCAATGGTTCCGTGCAAAAGAAGATTTTCGTTCGCCTTAGAAGCCGACAAACCCCTTCGCACTTCTTTTTGCCAAGTTTGCACGGCAAAGTTCCCAATTTGCTCCGTCCGACAGGCGACCGATCCGTATACCAACCTGCTTCGTGCTTCTTCCGCAATCATCTACAGCAAAAGTCAGGTATCCTGTTTTGCAAAGCAGCAATGTTGTAACAGTTAATTACAGTTAGTTGATCGAATACGACGTTCCCTGTCCTTGTATCGGTAACATGTCTGACTGTGTAGCTTAATGTGCCAATGACATGATCTTTGGCTCAAGTAATGAGAAAAGAGGTACGCTTGCAGCTTGTGTTCCTCTTCGGGCTTGCCTTGCCCGGCGATCCTACCCCAATATCGTTGTGCTGCTGTTGAGGGTCGGATTAACTCAGTTGCGGGAAAGTTATATGTGTGTGTGTGTGTTCTCCGTGCGTGGTTTCTGCGGAAGTAAGATCCTGTGGACGAAGTTCTTCGTTCGGTCTGTGGAAAGATTCGTCAGTGGTTCCGTGTAAAGAACGATATCTATTTTGCCTTGTAAGCCGAAACACCCCTGTGCGGTCTTCTTTTCGCCAAGTTTGCGCGGCAAAGTTCCCATTTTGCCCCGTGCGACAGCCAATCGATCCGTAAGCCAACCTCTCTTGTGCTTCTTCTACAAACGTCTACAGCAGAGGCCAGGTATCCGGTATCCTGTCTTGCAAGGCAGCAATGTTGTAACAGTTGCGGGAAGGTTGTGTGTTCTTCCGTGTGTGGTTTCTGCGGCAGCAAGATCCTGTGGACGACGTTCTTCGTTTTGTCGGCGGAAAAAATCGT